AAATTTTTGTACTCACTGCGAGACCCTTCTGTATTTTGTCTCGGAAGAAGAATGATAGAACCCAGCTGTTAATTTGCCGTTTGCGTTTACCATAACAAAATGTGCCTCTAATGAATGGTGCTAATTAGAAAAATCGTGTGCGCTAAAAACCCGTGCAGTGAGACGAGCCATTCAGGGAAAAGCTCAATAACTCACGACGAACAACTATGACAAAAATTGGGGTTTTGTTACTCCTTTTCAGGTTCTGCATTTTGTGCAAAACTTTTGTACTCGTTGCGAGGCCCTTCTTAATTTTAACTTGGAAGAAAAAAGAGAGAACCCAGATATTAATTTGCTGTTTGCGTTTACCATAACAAAATGTGCTTCCAAGGAATGGTGCTAATTAGAAAATTCTTGCGTGCTAAAACCTGTGCAGTTAAATGATCCATTCAGGGCAGAGCTCAATAACTCACAACGAACGACTACGACAAAAATTGAAGTTTTGTTACTTCCTTTTCAGTTTCTGCATTTTTTTAAAAAACCTTTGTACTCGTTGCGAGGCCGTTCTGTATTTTGTCTTGGAAGAGGAATGAGAGAATCCAGATGTTAATTTGCCGTTTGCGTTTACCATAACAAAAGACGCCTCTAATGAATGCAGTTGGACGAGCCATTCAGGGAAGAGCTCAATATCCACGTGCACGCATAAGTTATAAACGGCGAACTTTTTGGAATTATCACAAGCTTAGAGAAATTCTACTTCAGTGACCAATTCTTGTCACAACTTTAGCTCTTACACAGTGTTTTCTGCTTTGGAAGCCCTCTTTCGTAGTTCGTTTTGTCAAACTTAACATCACTTATCATTTCTGGCAACGGAAGGAAGCAGGTAAGACAGTGTTTATCGACGCTTATAAACTGTGTAAACTAATTCGAAAAGGAAGCTAAGCTATTTACTAACTCAAGAGGGGTTTTAGGTCGAAGCTTCGTTTTAATGAATCCTTTAATTCTTTTCAATCGCTCGTATTTCTGCCCAGAAGCTTTCAATTACTCAGCAACGTGGCGAAAGCGTGGTTCGTGCTCTTAAATTTTAATTAGTTACAAGTTTGAAGCAAAACTCAGAGTCTTAAGTTATGCATATTGATTTTTATAGTAAGTATATCTAAAGCTTGTTCATAGAGGCATTAGTTTTGAACATTGTGCGTAATATAGAGATGACGGATGAATTAAGGAAATATTTTACTTGACTTCCTAAGCAGATTCTGAACAATTTCCTTCGTCTCAACCCCATATATTCCAAGATCGAATCATCAATTCTCCCCTTTGGGTGCTAAACATTTCCTCCCAATTAGTTGCAAGAATTTGATATCAGATAAAGATAACATCATCTTCGGGATAAATTTGAATATTCTCATCACCTGTTTGCTGGATAAAGTATAGATAATATAGAGAAAAGATACATGTAAATCACTTCTTAGGGTTCAAGAGTTAACCGCTCGTTGTGAAAAGTGAAAAATTTGGCTCACACTTGTTGTTTTATTCTCTTTAATCGAAACATAAGCATCTGAATGATAAAAATTTCAGTAATACGCTTTTTACGCAAAGGAGGCTTCTAAATCTACTGATATTTTTGACGAAAAGCCCCTTTTAACTCGTGAATTGCGCGCATGCGCAAGAGCGAGTTATAGATACGATGTGGGGAATGCCATTCGCTAGCTCGCTCGCTCGCTCGATTGGTCGATTCCTGTAAACTTTTTTTAGATTTTAGGCTTTTGAGTGCATTTGATAGTTTTTGGCGAGCAAGAAACAGACGAAATGGCGACCTTTGTTGCTAAGAATAGTGGTGGGGTGAAAAAGAAGCCAATGATAATCTTGAAAAAGTTTTTTTTTTTCGTTTTAGTTTCAACAAGCGGCGCCAGCGACTAGCAGGCATGCGAGGATTCACACTGAAATAACAGAACAACCTTCGTTTTTCATAAAATTGTAATTTACAATCCTTGAACTTGAAAACAATCCGAAGATACATTGAAAGTATCACTTACTGCGAAGCGCTCGGAGTTACAGATGTAAGAGTACAGATGTTTAAAAGCTCTTTCTGTTATGGCGTGAGATTGAGGACAAAATTGATCATTACGTTTCGTCGCGTGTGTTTTTCCTGTGTGAAGCAACAAAAGATGCCGGCGACTGACGAAATAACAAGTTAACACGAAAATCAAATAATACCTAAACAAACAATTTTAGCTACCGATTTTCAATGAATTTTTAAAGAACAATTTTCTTTTAAGTTTCAAGACAATTTGAAGATTCAACATACAACGTACTAAAATGCGAAAGTTACACACCACAAAATTTATATATAGGCCTGAAATGAAATTCTATCTTGTTATTGATTATACGTTGCCTAGCACGTGACTTAAATCTACCCAGGCGGAGATCCAAAATGACGGTGGCAGGCTTGGCTTAGTTATATCACTCAAAACTCGTTCCCGTTTGTCTCATTTGATAAAGAGGGAATCGTTAATGTTTT